GCATTTGGCACAGTGTGCATCCATGATGTCAGATCGGAAGCAGTGAGAAGACTGATTTAGGATTCATCACAATAAAGAGATGAAAGGCAAATTTAGAGCCAGTGTTTAAAATGTAGTTCAACAGACCATGAAGAAAACCCTACTACAGGCACTAGATCTGACAGCTCTAAAAATGAAGCATAACAAAAAAAAAATAGGGTGGAAAAAATGGTACTGGGAAAGCTCTGAGCAACAAATCGCACAACACCTTTGAGTGACACGGAAGGGCATCTATGCATCCATGCAGACAGGCTAATGCCCTACATGACTCAGCCAGGCCATCACTTATTTATGGCTGGCTTACATTGATGAATTAGCTTATGATATGGCATATAAGCAGGGTGAGTGAGGCTAAGAGTGCTACTGTATGGCTCTTTTAGAAGGGCGTGATAGAAGAGTTTTTTTTAACAAGCTCTGCGTGGTCGTCAGCTGTGAGTTCAAGCATAAAAACAACAAGGTTAATAAATTGAATCTCAAGCGGTGGCACTTCAAAAACATGCCAAAATAACACCAAGGATCCAAACAATGCTGCTCTAACTGGGCAGTTTGTCAGGTGTGAAACGTCACTGCAGGAATCACACACTAAAGCGTCCCCATGTAAGCTGAAAAGTAACCAAAACAAATTGATTGTATCCTGCTATGCATTTAGTCTGTCTGTCTGTCTGTCTATCTATCTATCTACAGTGCTCAGCATATATAAGTACACCCCTCACAAATCTTTTAAATTCATATTTTAATAGAAAGCTATATACTATTATATTTGTGCATATACATTAGATTAGTCAGTACTGAGGTCAAATCTGGAGCTTATTTAACAAAATAACTTATACAATAAACTAGTACACCCAAATTTATATGTTATAGAAAAACGGTAAATACAAATTTAAGCGTACCCGGTACCAGGTCATTTACTTCAGCATTTTTCTTAACTTTAAAGGTCCGTACTGGCCCAATACCCCCATAAGTGGTTCCGTTCTTTCATCAATAGGAATAGAATAATTTTGCAGACATTGTGATAAAGACATTTTTCTTTTTTCTGATTACTGACATGTGAAAATTTCAAATTAAATTTAAGAAATTACAGAAACCTAAACCACACAGAACCTAAAAGGTACACTTTCAAATCTGAGTTTACAAAACAAAAGCACCTCTTTTTTGGAGGGGTTTATTATAACACAGACAAATGTACAATTATTTTAATCACTTTTAACTAGTTCATGAAAATTCAAAGTGAAAAGTCAAAGGAAAATGATACCTTTTGCATTTACACAATTTGCACTGCATTTGATTTGGGAAGCTTTTCATTTGGGTAGTCAAAATCCAGGCCAAAATACCAAAATAACACTTGAGTTTTAATTAAAAAAAAAAAATAAAAAAAGAGGAAATCGTATATATTCTATCCATCTATCTATCTATCTATCTATCTATCTATCTATCTATCTATCTATCTATCTATCTATCTATCTATCTATCTATCTATCTATCTATCTTAATAAAATAAATCATAAATCTGTAATTAGAAATTAGTTTAAAGTTTAAAACAAGTTTAAAACAAGATTGCCCATAAATCATTGCCACATTGTTTATTTATTAATTCTTTACCATATTTAGGCTATTTATTATTCACCAGGTTTGAAAATCTAACTTGATCGATGACATCACTGCAAAACAACCACCTTGTTGAACTTGTATTTTTTCTAAGATAGATAGATAGATAGATAGATAGATAGATAGATAGATGGATGGATAGATAGATAGATAGATAGATAGATAGATAGATAGATAGATAGATAGATAGATAGATAGATAGATAGATAGATAGATAGATAGATAGATAGATAGATAGATAGATAGATAGATAGATAGAAAAAACAACGTTGCCATGAATAAACTAAACAGACTTCATTGCGATAGTCTATGAATGCTTCTGAAGGATTCGGTAACCAGGACAACGCCTCATCCTCCGCATCATGGACCAAAAGACCGCGAAACATGGGTGTCACGCTCGCCCACTCACACACACTGAACACCAGAAAGCGGAATGCACGCGTTAATTTTCCACACTCACACACACTGACCTGGCGAATGCGGTTCTGGTGGGGCGGAGAGCCTCCTTCGGGTGAGGTATTGTTGGAAGAGGCCATCCTCACGTCTCGGACGGAGCCGCCCCTGCTCTGACTTTCTGCCGAGCTTTTTGACATTCAGCCTCAGCGCGTGACGGTGTCCACGAAACGGTGTCTGGCAGTCCTGATGCTGCGGTTGTCAAGAGCCGTGCTGTGCTCCGGCCTCAGATGTCAGGGCTGAAGCTCCGGCTCATGTTGTGGTTGATTTTGGGGTGCGGGAGACAGACGGACGTCCTGTGGCGTGACGGTGCGGGTCTCGCGCACGGTGTCCTGCGGCACTCCTGCTGCTCTCACGCACCAATGGATGCTGCAGTGCTGAAACGCTGGCCGGGATGAAGGATGAATGAGGGTAATTAGCGATAAGCCTGAGAAAAATATACGATGGTGTAAGAGAGGCGCAATATGAGCGATGCTCTCCTCGCCGTGTTGAGAAGCCCCCTCCCGTGCTCCTCTTTCTCCCTCACTCCCCTCCTCCATACAAGCCAAACCTCCCCTTACACATGACGAGGCAGAATCAAACTGGATTTAATAGCCTGAAATTTGGGGTGTACGGTGGAGTAAAGTATTTGAACAATATAAAAGAAAAAAAAACAAGTAGCCTAGTTAAAAAAGAGCAAATGTAGCCAATAAAAAATATACAAGCAATCCCATATCTGAGAACTTTCTTTCCCATTGTAACATCTTCGCTCCAAAAGCAGGGCACGTTATCTATAAACAAACATCAACTTGACAACTAACAGCTTTAGCCAGAAAAATCGAAAATTAGCCCCTTTGTCTCTAGTCGCACCTATCAATGCAATATCGATCTATCAACATCTTATTAACTGAATTAATGTCTATTGTATAAAACCCTACCTATCAAGTTAGTAACTATAATAGGCCTTATCGATCCATCAATCCACCTCATGTAATTTGCTTAAATATCATCCATATAGTATGTATCTTTATCTACCTAATTACCTACTAAAGTATCTATATAATTATAGCAATAAACTAGTATACATCTAACAGCGACACAGTGGTGCAGTGGGTAACATTGTCACCTTATAGCATGAAGGTCCCTGGTTCGAGCCCTGGCTAGGTCAGTTGGCATTTGTGTGTGGAGTTTGCATGTTCTCCCTGTGTTCTTGTGGGTTTTCGCCGAGTCCCCCCACAGTAGAAATACATACAGTGCATCCAGAAAGTATTCATAGCGCTTCACTTTATCCATTTATGTTACAGCCTTATTCCAAAATGGATTAAATTCATTTATTTCCTCAAAACCCAACACACAATAGCCCATAATGATGATGTGAAAAGGTTTTTTGAAATTGTTGCAATTTAATAAAATATAAAAAACCTGAAATATCACATGTACATCAGTATTTACAGCCTTTGCCGTGAAGGTATAAATTGAGCTCAGGTACATTCTGTTTTTATAATTCTTGAGATGTTTCAGCAGCTTAATTGGAGTTCACCTGTGGTAAATTCAGTTGATTGGACATGATGTGAAAAGAAATACACCTGTCTATATAAGGTCCCAGGGTTGACAGTGCATGTCAAAGCACAAACCAAGCATGAAGACAAAGGAATTGTCTGTAGACCTCTAAGACAGGATTGTCTCGAGGCACAAGGCTGGGAAAGATTACAGAAAAATGTCTGCTGCTCTGAAAGTTCCAATGAGCACAGTGGCCTCCATCATCCATAAGTAGATGATGTTTGGAACCACCAGGACTCTTCCTAGAGCTGGCCGGCCATCTAAGCTTAGTGATCGGGGGAGATGGACCTTAGTCAGAGAGGTGATCAATAACCCGATGGATACTCTGTCTAAGCTCCAGCATTCTACTGTGGAGAGAGGAAAACCTTACAAGGACAACCATCTGTGCAGTAATCCACCAATCAGGCCTGTATGGTAGAGTGGCCAGAGAGAAGCTACTCCCCTCCTGGAATTTGCCAAATGGCATCTGAAGGACTCTCAGACCATAAGAAACAAAATTCTTTGGTCTGATTAGACTAAAATTGAATTCTTTGGAGTGAATGTCAGGCGTTACGTTTGGAGAAAAGCAGGCACCGCTCATCACCAGGCTAATACTATCCTTACAGTGAAGCATGGTGGTGGCAGCATCATGATGGGGATGTTCTGGAAGACTAGCCAGGATAGAGGGAAAGATGAATGCAGAAATGCACAGAGACATCCTACATGAAAACCTGCCTCAGAGTGCTCTTGACCTCAGACTGGGGAAACAGTTCATCTTCCAGCAGGACAATGACCCAAAGCATACCGCCAAAATATCAATGGAGTGGCTTAACAACAACTTGGTAAATGTCCTTGAGTGGCCCAGCCAGAGCCCAGATCTAAATCATATTGAACATCTCGGGAGAGATCTGAAAATGCCTGTACACTGTCGTTTCTCATTCAACCCGACAGAGCTTGAGAGAAACTGCAAAGAGAAAAAAACTCTCAAGAGGAACTGCTAAAATCCCCAAAGACAGGGGTGCCAAGCTTGTGGCATCATATTCAAAAAGACTTGAGGCTGAAATTGCTGCAAAAAGTGCATCAACAAAGTGTTGAGCAAAGGCTGTGAATACTGATGTACATGTGATTTTTCAGCTTTTTTATTTTTAATAAATTTGCAACAATTTCAAAAAACTCTTTTAATACATTGTCATTAAATTGTATTGTGTGTCGAATTTTGAGAAAATAAATGAATTGAATCTATTTTGGAATAAGGCTGTGACATGAAAAAAATTTGAAACAGTAAAGCGCTATGAATACTTTCCGGATGCACTGCATATAGTGTCTATACAAGTAAAATTCGAAAAGGTGAGACAGCTGAAGGCAATAAATAAAACAGAGGGTAAAAAATAAACACTTTATTAAACATCTACTTTGGATCAGTACTGGATGACAATAACGGAATGATCATAACAATGACAAACAAATAGAACTTGACCATGAAAATTCATTCTCTAACTTAAGTTCTCAGATTACTTAAGGGTACCATTTTAACAATCAGAATGAGCTGCATATGATACGTAATAAGTTCCACTTTTACAAAGACAAACTGATCTGAAACCACAACCAAGCTGCTGATGAGAACTCAAGACTCGCTGCACAGTTAAACTAGCAAACTGAAGGGTCTTTTGCTTTCAAGCAACTGGGTTATGCAAATTGAGTTAATGGAAATGCAGAAAGTGGAATCGTAAATAATACATGGAACATACTGAACGCCAAGCAGCTTTAACTCATTTCTCTAAGCTTTACTGGACTGAGAAGGTGAATGAAAAGGAAATCAGGTGTGCATAGTATTACTCACAAAATGTTGATTCTCTGGATGAAGTACCTGGTGTGGAGAACTCAATTTCACTTTTGATGTAGGAGTAATTTTAAGGAGAGCCAAAACCCTTAGCTAAAGCTGAGTTACAAAGATGTGCCTTTTAATCAAGTTACAAATGAAACATATGCAAATGTACTGGTAAAATACACATTTGATAAAGACTAAAATTTGTAGCACCACCAAACAGCGTAATTTAGTGCAGTGTAATCTGTCGGATCCCACCCTGACACACCATTTACAGGAAGTCATTCTGAATAGCTTATCCTCTCGGTACACGTCAGACAGCAGCGAGCTGGTCAAGGTTGTCCTGGGAACGACTGGCGAGGTGCGCTTCCAGTATCTCTCCAAACAGACCTCTCTTCAGCAAATTGTATGCCATTGGCAGCAGCTGCCGGACCACCTTAAAGAAATACTGCAAAAAAAAATGCAATTGGTCAGTGTCTGGGAGAACTCCATATATCAGAAGAAACCTGTCAGAAATGGCTATTGCAGTGCCTTCAACGCAGGGACATACTGGCTGATAGATGACCTATATGAAAAGCAGAAAGCTATAACAGGGTTTCTGCAGTTTTCAGCTAGTCAAATTTAAGACTTTAAGGCCTTTTTAAGATCATTATGAATGACATTTTAGACTTATACAGGGCTAAATGCTAGGGATTTTTTTCGAATATCCCAGTTGGAAAAGATTTTCACTTGCTCATAAAAAGGGATTCCAATTTAATGCATTTAATAATACAATAATAATAATTTAATAATAAAAAAATGTAGGTCAGATCAGTATCCACAGCAGTAAATAAATATAGAACTTTGCAACATAGTAATTAAAACTTTATGGTAAATAACATTTTTAAGAGATTGCTGGTAATTGTGTGAGTGTTAATGGCCAAATTGGAAAGCTATACATTAACAAAGAAAAATTAAGACCTGTTATAATGTATTAAGACCTACAACACAATATTTTAGTAGATTTAAGACTTTAAGGCTTAAAATTTAGCTTTTGAGATTTAAGACCTTTTAAGACCCCACGAATACCCTGTATAAAAGGGAACAGCAATGCAGGTAATACAAGATTATCTCTGTACACAAACACTGCAAGACTTCAAACAGCCCATTTTGATATTTGTTTTTAAATCGATAAAAACCAAAACCAAAAAACATGGTGTGTGTTGAGGGCGTTAAGCAAACATCCTGTTCGAAATGCTGGCCATGGCAAGATATTTGTAAACAGCCAATATTATAATAAGTGATCGTAAACAGACAGGGAAAAATCCATTTTCTCTGTGCATTATATTATCCTGCAAAGTAAATCCAGTCTAAAAGACTCGCTGAAGCATAATATCCTCTTTAAAAATTATCAATAATGCTGACAAACACCTTTTTTTGTATAATTTTTTATAGTAATTATTTTTCTAAAAAAGCACCAAGCAATCTTGGGTTTGTTGCTTTATTTGGTCATGGAATTTAAGCAATCTTACCTCAGGGTTTCTGCTGGTTTCACAAAGTCATATTTAGGACTTTTTGAGACTTTAAGATCATGAAGCATGACATTTCAGTCTTATATAGGGCTAAACGCTACAGATTTTTAAATGGCCCATAAAGAATAAACATGTACTTGCCCAATCTAATATGATTTGCCTAAAATTTTAATTAGTTATTTCTTAGCCACATATTTTAAATAATGTGACAAAACAAGCAGACCCTAGTTATATACATATATATACAAACCGTTTTATCGAGATGTATTTGATGGCGTTTGGATACGTGTTGGATAGATTGGGTAGCTTTACATAAATTAAGGAAAATAAAGACCCATTTAAAATGATTTAAGGACTACAAGACAATATTTCAGTCAATTTAAGATTTTTAAGGCCTAAAATTTAGAAATTTAAGACATTGAGACTTAAGACCCCGCGGATACCCTGTACGTACTAAATGCTTTTAAAGCTTTTTTTATTTCAATTATTAATTTGCAATAAAATATTGACTAAATATATGTTTTTAGAATAGTTAAAACAAAAGTAAACTAGTGATTCTTATGGTAATACAAATTAATAACAACAACAAAGACTGTGCGATAAATCAAAATCGACTAGCAATTTTAAACATTGGGATTAGTTAAATCACAAGAGGCTTATATATATATATATATATATATATATATATATATATATGTGTGTGCATGTATGTATGTATTATTTAATTTCCCTCTGTATGTATGTGTGCATGTGCATTTGTATATAATATGCATTTGTGCATGTGCATTTGTATATAATACATACATAAATTAATTTATGTATGTATTATTTTATTTCCCCTGCCCACAGCAAATGCGCGACTGCCGTCTGTGTGTGTCTGGCTAGCCAATTAAGTGAGCACATTTTCATTCTGCCCAATAAGAATTGCGCAATCGAACTATGTGGAACACCCACAATAAAAACAAAACAAAACTGGAAAGCGCTTAACAGTGGGATTATGGTATCTGCTGCTTCAGAAGCATTAACAGATTAATTAATATCAAAAAATAATAATAATACATTTAATAATAAATATATGTAACAATAAAATGGCCAGAGAGTGTAAATAAAAAAATTTAAAAATTTGTGAACGGATTTAGGCTTAAAGCTTTCACTGCATAAATGATTTTACGAGAATGCAATTCTTACATGTGAGCCGTAACAGAACAGATCTATCCCAAGCTCATAGCCCATGCCATAGTCACATTCATCATTGGCAAACTGAACAAAGGTGATCATTTCCTGAATGGGTGCGAAAGCTTTCATCCTCTCCTCATCATCTTTGGCCTCAGCGATCGCTTTGCAAATCTTCTTCAGACTTGCTACAGGTAAACAAAACAAACAAGTCCCTGTCAATCTTCCATAATTCAGCACTAAAGCAGCATTATTCAAATTCTCAATGTCAAAAAAGTGAAACATCACAGAAATGACAGTCAGATTTTAAGGTTTACCATCAGATTCTGGCAATTCTCTATATCCGACATCATTTTTATCCACTGGAACAACAATTCCTGCTCCATGGAACGTCTTTGTGACCACCTACAGAACAAAAAAAGAAAAAGGAAATTAGCAAATAATAATATTAATGCTGATGACACACAAACGAGCATGCGCGCACACACACACACACGCATACATACACACACAGGCTTGCACATAGGCAAGCCCACGCAAAAAAAACATGCTTACACACAGGCAGATTTACGCAGACACGCCCACACACATGCATACACAAGCGCAGGCACAAAGGCACATGCACACATAAGCACGCAGACATGCATGCACACTTAAGCAGACAAGCAGAACAAGCACACTTGCAAAGACACAAGCACACACACAAAGACACGCACGCACACGCACACACACACACACACACACACACACATCCAACCACAAGCACACACACACCCACATGTACTCACACCATTTTTTTCTCATTTTACATCACATTTATTATACCTTTCTCTCTCTTTGTTTCATTGATTTAGTCTTTTGCTCCAGAGGTAAACCCAACCGCTCTGCCTCTCGCTTTAAATCTTCTTCTAGCCTGTTCAAAGCTGCGTCATCCTTCTGTTGTCTCTTCTCCTTCTTTTTCTTTTGCAAAAACAGCCTAGATGGTAAAAAAAGCACAGAGAGAGAATAATAATTCACATAAACATAATTAAACCAAATCAAATCAAATCATTAGCTGGGCATTCATTTGCGGGTCAGTAACATGTACTGTACTTACAGAACAGCTGCAAAAATATTGTCCCCCAACTGTGTGATGGTATACCCCTTCTTGGCTTCATTCTCCCCAATGAAGACAGGTAAAGCATCAGGCAAATCCCTGGACAGAGGTACAAGTACAGTGAGAAAGTCCCTGTGGAAACCTTGTTAGGTAGTGTTTTAATGTTAAAGATCAGTGAGTTCTTCCCAGTTAAAGTCATTTACAGACAAACGGTCACCTGAAGTATCCCATGTGGTGTTGGGTGTCTGCATTGCCCTGTATGATGGTCTGGAATTCTGGGGGATCATAGAAATAACGCCAATGAAGGTGAAAGTTGGGCTGAGAAGATGAGTTTTTGTGCTTTTTGGACAGGATATCAAACGGGCCAACTAGCTGAAGTCCAAGTGTGTTTTTTAGGGCATCTGCAAAGCACATAAAACACACGTAATGATTAAACTTCAGTGCAAAAAGACATGTAAACCACATAATTCTAAACAATATTCACTAAAATTGAATCAAAATGAATTTGCGGTTAGTGTTGATAATGCAGAAACAGTGAGTAGCTGGTCTTAGGCAGATCATGAATTTGTTTCTGGTTAGGCCCACACGCACCTATCATTGAGTCTATTTATTTAGTTGTTTGTAAATGTGTGTACATTTTTATTTATTAAGTTTTTTAATTAATTTCAGTAATGTTACAGACTATTATGAAAACGTTCATTTGATTTACTTACAATACAATTTGTACAGTAATAATTTCTGTCTTTTAGTAGATATTTGGTAGATATATTATATGTGAGACTTGCTTTGTTTACTAAAGTGGATCTAATTAAACTTGCATTGTAAACATTAAATAAAAGTTAAATTTTTTTTTAACTATTATAAACGAATATTTTAACATATTAAGTTTTGGTTACGATACTCTTCAAATCATTCCGCATAAATATTCTGCTCAAAAATAGCAAAAAATGTCCGCAGATTTTGTCAGGGCCTACTGATGGTTAACTGTTGATTAAATAATTGTGATGTGACTCAAAATATTATATACACTACAACGTAATATAAATCTTTAGTCTTTTACTAGATAAAATCAGTATTTAGGTTTGTTTGAAACAAATACTCCTTGACTTTATACATGAAACCATGTCTATGTGGTTAGATTCACCTTATTTGAAATTTGTACTTGACAGTTATTAACGGTTTTCTCAAATAACTGTTTTCAGAGTGCTGAAGTCAAAATTACAGAACCATGGATACAGCACCGATACCTTGTGGACAGTCAGCATTAAGACCTTCACAAAAGTCCCAAAACTGGAAAAAATCATCAGGCATGCGCAGCTTGTACAGTCTTTCCACTTCTTCCCTCATTTCTTCTCCGACAGATGTCTTATCATCCTTCAGCTCTTCTTTTGCTTTCTTCACCTCACCGTTTGGCGTCTCAGTCTAAAACATTTCAACAATGTAACGGTACATTAACAAAAACAATCTTTTCAATAATTTAAAATGAGAAACAGAAGAGTAAACACTAGGCATCTTGATATGAAAGCATTGAATATAGTCTTTTAAATGAATAGCTTGGAGAAAAAATAAGAACCAATCTAATGTAACGTTATATAAATAAAGCATCGAATATTTGAGGATTACAAGAAGGAAACGTGTGTGGGAAGTAACAAAATATTTTACAGTAAGGTTAACGTTAGTCATAACAAACCAAAGCAGACATAAGTTAACGCTATAGACTGTCACAATAAACTAAGGTCAAAAGAGACTGTTGTTTAACAACTAATGAGACTATTTGAAACTGACAAAACGTGCCTCTGTATAACTGACTGCAGGTATAAGTTACAACACTTGAGGTACAAACTTTACATGGTGATTATTGGCAATTATTCAATGAATGTATAAACAAAATGACTGAAGTGTGTGCACAATATGTAGTGTAATGCAGTCAATAGTGTACAATCATCAAGCAGCCCATAACCTTTGAATCAAAATTCATCGATAACCGAACGCTATACTCTAACTAGTCAAACTTATGAGGATTTATAAACTACCTGCGGCAAAGATCTGGGTTTTCTTTTCCCGCGCCCCGCCATGACGGATGCTTCTTTCCCGCAGTCTCCTCCACGCAAAGAGCTGCAGACAGTAGAAAAGTTCTGAACATCCGGTGGCGATTTCAAAATATCAGTCGTGACTCTTGTTATGTTGTCATCATGTTTCATTATTCATTTTTAATAAGTAGGAACAAAATATATCAAACATGCAAAAATGAATAGGCAGCTGGTTCTCCATCATTTTAAAAAGCTATTAAAAGATTATATCATCACATCATACAAATCTCCGCTATTTACTTAAAAGCTATTACAACATTAATAAATGACCAAAGTTACTCATCTCAGCAAGGTAGAGTAGAAATAAAATAAGTTTTTAAGGTTTTGAAATGTGAAATTCAAATTTGCTTTGAATTAAGAAATATATTTTTAATTTATTTTTAATTAATATAATATTCATAGTGTATTAGGCAGAATCAGAAATCTGGAAAGTGATTTTTGTAGGCTATAGATAATTAAAATGTTAAAATTAAAATGTGTTTTTACTTGGATTGTATTTGAATTTGTTGTCTTCTTTTATTTGTTTTACATTATTATATTTTTATTATTTTTTTACTGATTCATTAATTTCATTCCCTTTATATTATATTACTGTAATTCATAATTATATTACGTTATTATAACTTCATTGCAGACTACTGTACTGGGTACAACATTGCCATGAAACCCTATAATAAAATAAGTTGCAATCAAATATGGTATAAAGACAATAGACAAAGGGATTCTAATCTAAACATTAAAGCTGCAAGCAGCGATGATAGGGACCTCGCACCCGGGCTCACCGCCGCCCATTGGCCTCAGGATGACAGAGAACAGCGAACAACATTAATTTAAGCCGATTTATATAAAGATCCTGAGAAAACCACACATTCATGCCAAACTTCCTCGTGTCAGCAGGTGGCGCTATGACTGTTACTCAAGATTTGCATGTAGATGCCTTCAGTAGAGGAATCTTATCAACCATGTGAATTTTCAGCCAGATCGGACATTGTTTGGCTGAGTTATATGTAATTTCCTGTTGCCAGCAGGTGGCGCTATGACTGTGACTCGATATTGGCATGCAGATGTCTTCAGGAGAGGATTTTAATCAACCATGTAAATTTTCAGGCTGGTCAGACTTTGTGTGGCTGAGTTATAAGCCAAACTATCTTCTGCCAGCAGGTGGCGTTATGACAGACTCAATATAATTATGTAGATGTGCTTAGGAGAGGACTTTCATCAACCATGTGAAGTTTCAGGCAGATCGGACATTGTGTGGTTGAGTTATAAGCATTTCTTGTTCCATGGCGAAGCGTTGAGGTTTGTCATGCCGCCATGGACACGCCCTTCTGCAAAATCTCTAGATCTTTACAATATATCATCGCTAGAGCTTTCAAATAACATCACTCAAATTTGGTGCTGATATAATAAAGTTTGCGGAAGGAGTATATTACAATGTAAAACATGTCATTTCCTGTGGCCAGCAGGTGGCGCTATATTTCTATCTGGATATCAGCATATAAACGTATTCAGGTCAGGACTGTTATCAAATGAGTGAGTTTTGAGGCAGATCGGATAATGCATGCCTGAGTTATAACAACTTCCTGTTTTGTGGCGAATCGTCAAAGTTTGCAAGGCCGCCACAGACACGCCCATCGATGAAAACTCTAAAGCTTCGCAATTTAACATCGCCAAGGCCTTTACATGACAAAACTTAATTTTGGTGTTGATCAGATAAAATCCCTAGGAGGAGTTCGTTAAAATACAACGCCTGGAAATGGCAAAAAAGCCACTTTTTCGCCGCAGGAAGTTAAAAATAACCGACTTCCTGTTGGGTTTGAGATATGGCTCCAAGAGACTTTTTCGTATGTTTTGGCATGTTTGAGGTGTGTGCCAATTTTCGTGCATGTGCGTGATTCGTATATCGGGGGCTCGTCCGATTAATTTTTGTAGGTGGCGCTGTCGAGTCATTTTGCCACGCCCACTTCAATATTGTTATGTGGATGTTTTCAAGGGAGGACTTTTATCAACCATATGAAGTTTCAGGCAGATCGGACATTGTGTGGTTGAGTTATAAGGACTTCCTGTTCCATGGCGAAGCGTTGAGGTTTGTCATGCCGCCATGGACACGCCCCTCTGCGAAAACTCTAGATCTTCACAATATATCATCGCTAGGGCTTTCAGATAACACCACTGAAATTTGGTGCTGATACGATAAAATTTGTGGAAGGAGTTTGTCACACTGTAAAACATGTCATTTCCTGTGGCCAGCAGGTGGCGCTGTAACTGTATCTGGATATTGGCATGTAAACGTGTTCAGGTCAGGACTCTTATCAAGCGTGTGAATTTTGAGGCAGATCGGATAATGCATGCCTGAGTTATAACGACTTCCTGTTTTGTGGCGAATCGTCAAAGTTTGTGAGGCCGCCACGAACACGCCCATCGACGAAAACTCTAAAGCTTCGCAATTTAACATCGCCAAGGCCTTTAGATGACAAAACCCAATTTTGGTGTCGATCGGATAAAATCCCTAGGAGGAGTTCGTTAAAATACAACGCCTGGAAATGGCAAAAACGCCACTTTTTCACCGCAGGAAGCTAAAAATATCCAACTTCCTGTTGGGTTTGAGATATGGCTCCAAGAGACTTTTTCGTATGTTTTGGCATGTTTGAGGTGTGTGCCAATTTTCGTGCATGTGCGTGATTCGTGGATCGGGGGCTCGTCCGTTTAATTTTTCTAGGTGGCGCTGTCGAGTCATTTTGCCACGCCCACTTCCGAAGCCCAAAACAAACGTAAATTTTCGCCACTTCTGAGGCGTGTGCAAAGTTGCGTGAGTTTTCAGGCATGTTAAGCCCCTCAAAACCGCGATTCATTCCGCGGAAGAAGAAGAAGAAGAAGAAGAAGAAGAAGAAGAAGAAGAATTAAAGCTGCAAGCAGCGATGATAGGGACCTCGCACCCGGGCTCACCGCCGCCCAGTGGCCTCAGGATGACAGAGAACAGCGAACAGTAATAATTTAAGCCGATATATAAAAAAAAATCTGAGAAAATCACAGATTTATGCCAAATTTCCTCCTGTCAGCAGGTGGCGCTATAACTGTGACTCACGATTGGCATGTAGATGTCTTCAGGAGAGGAAACTTATTAACCATGTGAAGTTTCAGGCAGATCGGACATTGTTTGGCTGAGTTATAAGCCAAACTGCCTTTTGTCAGCAGGTGGCGCTATGACAGACTCAATGTTGTTATGTAGATGTGTTCAGGAGAGGACTTTTATCAAACTTGTGAAGTTTCAGCCAGATCGGACTTTGTGTGGTTGAGTTATACTGCAAACTACCATCTGTCAGCAGGTGGCGCTATAACTGTGACTTAAGATTGGCATGTAGATGTCTTCCGGAGAGGAGTCTTATCAACCATGTGAAGTTTCAGGCACATGGGACATTGTGTGGCTGAGTTATAAGCCAAACTACCTTCTGCCAGCAGGTGGCGTTATGACTGACTCAATATTATTATGTAGATGTGTTTTGGAGAGGACTTTCATCAGCCATGTGACATTTTAGGCAGATCTGACATTGTGTGGCCGAGTTACAAGCCAAAATTCCTTCTGCCAGCAGGTGGCGCTATGACTCTGACTCAATATTATTATGTAGATGTGCTCAAGAGAGGACTTTCATCAACCATGTGAAGTTTCAGGCAGATCGGACATTGTGTGGCCGAGTTACAAGCCAAACTACCTTCTGCCAGCAGGTGGCGCTATGACTGACTCAATATTGTTATGTGGATGTGTTCAGGAGCGGACTTTTATCAATCATGTGAAGTTTCAGGCAGATCAGACATTGTGTGGTTGAGTTATAAGGCATTCCTGTTCCATGGCGAAGCGTTGAGGTTTGTCATGCCACCACAGACACGCCCCTCTGCAAAAACTCTAGATCTTCACAATATATCATCGCTAGAGCTTTCAGATGACACCACTCTATTTTGGTGCTGATACGGGAAAGTTTGTGGGAGGAGTTTGTTAGAGTGTCAAACATGTCATTTCCTGTGGCCAGCAGGTGGCGCTATAGCTGTAACTGGATATCGGCACGTAAACCTGTTCAGGTCAGGACTGTTATTAAATGTGTGAATTTTGAGGCAGATCGGATAATGCATGCCAGAGTTATAAAGACTTCCTGTTTTGTGGCGAATCATCAAAGTTTGCGAGGCCGCCACGGACACGCCCATCGATGAAAACTCTAAAGCTTCGCAATTTAACATCACCAAGGCTTTAAGATGACAAAACCCAATTTTGGTGTTTATCAGATAACATCCCTTGGAGGAGTTCGTTAAAATACAACGCCTGGAAATGGCAAAAGCGCCACTTTTTCGCCACAGGAAGTTAAAAATATCCGACTTCCTGTTGGGTTTGAGATATGGCTCCAAGAGACTTTTTCGTATGTTTTGCCATGTTTGAGGTGTGTGCCAATTTTTGTGCATGTGCGTGATTCGTAGATCGGGGGCTCGTCCATTTAATTTTTCTAGGTGGCGCTGTCGAGTCATTTTGCCACGCCCACTTCAATATTGTTATGTGGCTGTGTTCAAGAGATGACGTTTATCAACCATGTGAAGTTTCAGGCAGATCAGACATTGTGTGGTTGTGTTATAAGGACTTCCTGTTCCATGGCGAAGCGTTGAGGTTTGTCATACCGCCACGGACACGCCCCTCTGCGAAAACTCTAGATCTTCACAATATATCATCGCTAGAGCTTTCAGATAACACCACTCAATTTTGGTGTTGATACGATAAAATTTGTGGGAGGAGTTTATAATTCCGTAAATCATGTCATTTCCTGTGGCCAGCAGGTGGCGCTGTAACTGTATCTGGATATCGGCATGTAAACGTGTTCAGGTCAGGACTCTTATCAAACGTGTGAATTTTGAGGCAGATCGGATAATGCATGCCTGTGTTATAACGACTTCCTCTTTTGTGGCGAATCGTCAAAGTTTGCGAGGCCACCACGGACACGCCCATCGATGAAAACTCTAAAGCTTCGCAATTTAACATCGCCAAGGCCTTTAGATGACAAAACCCAATTTTGGTGTCGATCGGATAAAATCCCTAGGAGGAGTTCGTTAAAATACAACGCCTGGAAATGGCAAAAACGCCACTTTTTCGCCGCAGGAAGTTAAAAATATCCGACTTCCTGTTAGGTTTGAGATATGGCTCCAAGAGACTTTTTCGTATGTTTTGGTGTGTTTGAGGTTTGTGCCAATTTTCGTGCATGTGCGTGATTCGTGGATCGGGGGCTCGTCCGTTTAATTTTTCTAGGTGGCGCTGTCGAGTCATTTTGCCACGCCCACTTCCGAAGCCCATAACAAACGTAAATTTTCGCCACTTCTGAGGCGTGTGCAAAGTTGCGTGAGTTTTCGGGCATGTTTAGCCCCTCAAAACCGCGATTCATTCCGCGGAAGAAGAAGAAGAAGAAGAAGAAGAATAATAAGAAACGGAGCAATTCCAATAGGGCCTTGCACCGTTCGGTGCTCGGTCCCTAATAAACGGAGCAATTCCAATAGGGCCTACGCACCGTTTCGGTGCTCGGTCCCTAATAATCACTAGTTTATTTTCTAGTTCTGTGTTCATCCAGTCAGGTATTTATAGCATGTAAATTAGGATTTTTAGACTATCCCTGAACCACGTGTACATGATGCATGACGTGACACAGAGGGAGGCGACAGTGTGAGTTTAAAAGGATCAGTCTGTGTGAGAAAATCTCTCGTGGCGAGGAAATCTATCAGAAGTTTTTAGGAGCTGTCATCTCAGATCCACAGCAGGAACAATAATGATGTTCTGCAGAGCGGCTTGGCGAAGACTTGCGCCTCTGGCACGCAAAACACTCACTCCTCCTTTGTCCAGCAATGGTAAGAAAACACTAATTGAAGATCAATGTTTCGATTCTGCAAATTAAATTTATCTAATTGAACGTCACAATTCAAAAGAGATAGTGATGTTAGCTGCACATGTAAAACGTGCATAAAATATGAAATATGATCAGTAAGATGAGTGTCAGTGGTTTATGAGTTTACCACAATGCAGAACATGGAGTTAAGATGTTTATGTAACAACTAATGTAGTTAAATACATCAATGATTTGCAGTATGTAGCTAAATAAAGTAGCCTGAAGAGTTCGGATGCAAAAACCTCTAAATGCCGTCTGTAATGTTTCCTAAAATGAGTAGCCTATTTTTCTCAGCCTCCTATGTTTTTGTTCAGTTCGCTTGAAAGGCAATGAAAAGAACTTCTTCATCACTATAAAAGTAAAATTGCTGAGCCTACATACAGGAGTCTGAGGAAAATGCCATTTTTTTCTGAAAATATCAAATGGCTTTTAGAGGTTTTTGCATTTAAATTCATAATATGCAACTTTAGGTTTGTTAGTTTGCTTATGGATGAAATTTAGACATTATATATTTTTAATTTAGTTTTAGTTAATATAACATTCATAGTGAATTAGGCAGAATCAGAAATCTGGAAAGTGATTTTTGTAGGCTATAGATAATTAAAATGTTAAAATTAAAATGTGTTTTTACTTAGATTGTATTCGTGTTTGTATTAGTTTTCTTCTTTCATCATTTGTTTTACATTATTATATGTTTATTATTTTATTACTCATTCATTTATTTAATTTCCTGAATAATTTATTATATTTTCTGCAAACTGTAAAAACATTTATCTTTGCATTTGGAGGAAATCCAGAAGTTTGTAGGCGGACGAAATATAGCCTACTGAGATTCTGTCTATTCAAGTGTTTTGATTTGTTTTATGAATTTATATATTTTATGGTATTTATGAGCCTTGGCTGTGTCAGTTGGCATTTCTGTGCGGAGTTTGCATGTTCTCCCCGTGTTAGCGTGGGTTTCCTCCAGGTGCTCCGGTTTCCCCCACAGTTCGAAGACATGCGGTACAGGTGAATTGGGAAGGTTAAATTGTCTGTATGTGTGTGAATGAATGTGTATGGACATTTCCTAGTGATGGGTTGCAGCTGGAAGGGCATCTGCTGCATAAAACATATGCTGGATTAGTTGGTGCTTTATTCTGACCCCTGATTAATAAAGGGACTAAGCTGAAAAGAAAATGAGTGAATGAATTAACTTATTACCTTTTTATTGAACGGTTGTAAGAAATTGTAATCATTTTCCAAATGTACCTATTGATATTAGGATATTTATATATATTTGTTTATTTTTTACAGTGCGTGCATGACATTTTTATGGACATTTACGTTGAACTGTTTCATTTTGAAATGTATAATATATTAACAGTTATGTGGATGATTTTGAGTTTGTTTTTAATGCAGAGCTTTCCATAACAGACGGCTAAACATGTAAACCCTTCCCTGCTCCAGCGCATCTGCGGGAAATAGCTGGGTTTGATCTGTTTAAAGTTAATTTCCTGTTAAAGGATTCACTCCGTTTGAACGGCATGCATTTTCTATCATTGTATTTATCCACATATAAATATATTTTTAGCCACATATGCCCCATTGTTTTAAAACCTGAAGATCTTCAGTCCTCTTTTAACTTTGAGTGCTAATCTTTTTTTTTTTCTGCTGAGTCGACAATTTGTGCATGGTTGAACTGATGTATTCACAAAATCTGCTCTGGCATTTCTCAAATATTTCAGATGGGCCTTGTGCCAACATGAATTTTCCGCATTCTGCTGTCTCCCACACCCAAAATAAAATGAAAATAAGCTGAAACAAAACAATTCTGGAGATTTTTTTTGGGGGGGGAACTTAAGTGTTTTATGTTTAATCAACTTAAATTAGTTGCGTTACCTTAATAAATTTGTGGTGGGACATTTTTGACAGCGCAATGCATGTTCGTCTCTCTTTTTTTTCAGAGAGAATGACAGTGTGCATGTTGCCCTGAACACCTGCTGGTCAACCTTCACCTTAACAGTCCGTTGACACAGCCATAAATGAGATTAAAAGTACAAATGAGGCACAAGCCACCTTGCTGCAGACAGTCACCTTGTTATTGTGGTGAAACTCATCCTCAGTGGAAAAAACTATTTAAAGTCCAGATTTTGTGATGTGACGCTGTAGTTGTGTGTTTTTTGGTATTGTATGTCCCGTGCATGTGCTCCTGTGGGTTGAAATGTAGCTGTAGGGAGAAGGAGGGAGGGGCAGATGCACTGTTGGACATTGTGTTCCCTTCTGCTGCTTCATTGCAGCTACACAGAAGATGTGTGTTTGCCTAAATTCATGCACAGACACAAAAGCCTGAATCACATGCTTGCTGTATCAGGCCTGTCTGATCTCCTGCAACTTTGCATTTTGTTTTCTTTTTCAGCTCATCAAACGCATCAACTGAAAAAAACTTTATTAGTTCTACCATTGTTTGTGGTGGAAATAAGAGTTCAAAGCTAAGCCACATGAATAATGTTAGAAAATTATACATAACAGACAAACACAACTGTATTATACAAAGATTATATATATTTGACAGTTATGGTTGGCAGAATATTTTAATTAAAGTACAGTGTTGTAACCAATACATTGTTTTTTTCTATTTCTTAATGTTACTTCTACAATAGTACCTTTAACAGGATAATATTGTACATATTTGTACATTTAGTTTAGATTTGTTTTTCTTGCAAAAATAACCTTGAACCCTTTTTTATGGATTCTACTTTATTTTACTGTTACTGTTGACTATGTTTGACATCTTACACTGTTTTTATTGATAATATGGTAAATATAATAAGTAATAGACAAATAACAGACTAACAAAACACACAAAAACTGTATTTATGCTTTTATGAAAATGAGATGACTTATTTTTATATGTTGTTTTTTTTTTACTTTTGTAATAGTACCTTTAACAGGCTAATATTCTGAAATTCCAAGGTGGAATTAATTTAGATTTCTTCCGTGCATTTCACACTCTTAGAAATAGGTACGCGATCTGTCACTGCGGTGGTACCTTTTCAAAACAAACAAATTTGTACCTAAAAGGTCCATATTAATATCTCAAGGGTACATATTAGTATCTAGAAAGTACAAAAGTGTTCTTCTTAAATTGTTTAAGTACTAGTATATAAAATTACATAATTTTAAGGTACCAATATGAACCCTTTAAGTACAAATGTGTTACTTTTGAAAAGGTACCACCCCAGTGACAGCTCTCATATACCTTTATTTCTGAAAGTGCATGCAAAAATAACTTTTAACCCTTTTTGTAGGGATTTTAATTTGTTACTGTTAAGGTTTTTGTTATCTTGCACTGTTTTTATATACATATACACTTTCAGGAAAAAAAGTGGGGCAGTACCTTTTTAATGGACAGAATTTAACTTTAAGACAAAAAAAACTCATTTGTACCATTGCATTTTGTACCTTTTAAAGACATGATTTGTACCATGGGACAACAAAATGTACCTTTGTTTTTTAAAACTTGCAACAATATTGTATCTTCATCAAAGGTAAATCTGATCCATGAAGGTACCACTACAGTGACAAGACACTTTGTACCTTAACAGCGTCCAAAAATAATTACCAAACATTTATTAAAAATGCCTTAAATGTTTAGTTTACAATACCTTTAGTTTTGTTTTACCAGTTGTTTTGCATTATAGAACTTAATAATTAATGTTTATGAGTTTCTTTAAACATTTGCATTTAGATGAGGATTCATGTTTTAATATGGAAATTATTCATTAAGTTATTTTGCCTTTACAGTAATATTTATTTTCATAGATACTGTAATAGAGAAGGAGTTGTCCTTTTTTGTACATTTTTTTATGGGAACAATTGTGTTGCTTCATTTCAGTTTTATCATAAAAGGTACAGAACAGTATCATAAGATAAGGTACAGCTTTTACAAAGGTACAAAACTGCTCAGCATATATAAGTACACCCCTCACAAATCTTTTAAATTTATATTTTTGATAGGAAGCTATACAATATTATATTGTACAAATATTATACAATATTTGTACAATATTAGTCAGTTCTGAAGCCAAATCTGGAGCTTATCTAATAAAATAACTTATGATAAGCGTCGAAAAACTAGTTCACCCAAATTTATGTTATAAAAAAAAATATTAAATACAAATTTTTAAAAAGAGGAAAAATCAAGAGAAGCAAAAATAAATGTAAAAATTTAGTTGTTTTTTTTAGATATTTTGCTTGATTTTAATTGTACAATATTATCTTTCAATTTTATAAATATGTTTGTTAAATATAATTTTTTTAATATATCTGTTTAATAAATATGTTTTGTTGAAATGCAAATACATTGCCTTTATTCAATGAAAAATTGAAAAAAATATTTATTTTTAAAATGGGGTGTACTCAATTATGCTGAGCACTGTATATATATAATTAACAGTTATGAAAATAATGAGGTGGCTTATTTCTATCTGTTGTTTTTTCACTTCTAAAATAATACTTTTAACTAAAAAAATTTTGTGTTAATTCAGAAATTTTACATTCTACTTTTAACACATTTTTTTTTTTTTTTTTTAGGGATTCCACTTTATTTTACTGTTTATGGTCCTGTCATCATACACTGTTTTTACTGATAATTTGTGATAATATGGAGCTTATATTGAATATGTAACACACAGCTTTCCTTAAATTTCCTGGAAATAGTTCAATTAACATGTTTGCAATATTATTACCTGTTAATAAATATGTATTATCGATCAAAAGGAAGAAGGGTTGTAGTACATTGTAATACATTTTTTTTTTTTAGCAAAGTTTTAATTTGGTAATAATTTAGAGGCGTTAGAACTTTTTATAATGATGCTTTAAAATGTTAAATTTAGATTAAAGGCAGTATGGCACCCAAGAATATTTTATAAAATAATGCAGGTCTCTTTTTCTCTTTTAATAGCTGTAGTTCCCATACGACAGATGTCCTTTGGGCTGCCTGTGTCTGGCACTAATATGGCTTACGCGGTTCTTTGTGGAAGCTCGCTTACGGCTGCTATTGTTTACGTATGTATTTGTACAACATTATTAATAATAATATTTCCATTTCCTCAACTAAAATCTGCTTTCTCATGATTTCTCCTAACAGGCTTATAAGACTATAAACTCTGACAGTGCAAGATATAATGAAAGAATCGCTCAAATCGAGGCCAGAACAAAAAGTAAGTTTATTTTATTTTTATTTATATTTAATAATTGTTTTATTGCATTTTTTATTGATTTTATTATTTTTTAAAATTATTTCTATTAAAAAATTTATTTGATTAAGCATTTGTGGTATAGTTCTCTTTTTGTCTATGAATACCTGTTTTAAAAGTAAGTTTTGTTTTCATTTACATTATTTTTTGTTTTATATTTATTTTATTAAATTAGTATTTTTTATTAACATTTTGTTTTGTGGTATAGTTATGTTTTTATCCACAAATACCTGTTTTAAAAGCAAGTTTATTTTATTTTTTTATTTACATTTTAGTTTTTTTATTAAATTTTTTTTATTTAGTTTTATTTTTTATTTAATTTGTTTAATCACATGTTTTTTATTACGCATTTAACAAGTGCGGTATAGTTCTGTTTTTAAGCTATAAATACCTGTTTTAAAAATAAGTTTATTTTATTTTTTATAAAAAAAATTTATTAATGTTTTTTTTTTTGTTTTTATAAAAAAATTTTTAATCTTTTTTTATTTTTTATTTATTTTTTTGTTATTGTATTTTATTAAGCATTTAATGCATTTGTGGTATAGTTCTGTTTTATCTACGAATACCTGTTCCAAAAGTAAGCTTATTTTATTTTTTTTATAAATTTTAGTTTAATTTGTTTAATAACATTTTTATTTCATTTTATTACCCATTTAACGCATTTGTGGTACAGTTCTGTTTTTGTCTACGAATACCTGTTTTCATTTTGGTCTTTAATGATTTCAGTCAATCATTGAAAATCAGTAAAGTGGAATAATTTACACTGACAGCTGGGATTAAATTATCTTTCAGAGCTCTTTTATTCTTGCCTATATTGAACTGACAGGTTCTGCCGCTGTTGTTTTGGTTTGCGTGTGTGTTACTGCAGTTCTTTAGGCCTGATCCTCTTTCTGCCATTATTCAGCAGCAGACACTAAGCTACGGCCACATTTAGAGCAGCTTTCACTTGTTTACTTTTGTTGTTTGCGTGCTGTTAACCACCTTACTTTTTTTTCTCCCTTCAGGTGAGGAGGGTGAGTATAAATTTAGCCTCTGTCTTAGCAGCATGACTGGTTTTCTATGCTCTCAGTAGACATTAACCAAAACTTGTTCACATTTCAGTCTGCCTGTCATTACTTGGTTCGCCCGCAGCACTATATGTCACATAACTCAGAACAGAAGCTCCTTTTCTAAATTAGTTCCACAGCTTGGGAAGATTTGATGTTTGATAAATGCAATCAATCATCATCATATACAGTTGATGTCAGAATTATTAGTCCCCCTGAATTAGTAGCCACCCTGTTTATTTTTTCCCCCAATTTCTGTTTAATGGAGAACAGATTTCTTCAACACATTTCTAATCATAATAGTTTTAATAACTCATTTCTAATAAGTGATTTATTTTATCTTTACCATGATGACAGTACATAATATTTGACTAGATATTTTTCAAGACACTTCTATTCAGCTTAAAGTGACATTTAAAGGCTTAACTAGGTTAGGTTAACTAGGCAGGTTAGGGTAATTAGACAAGTTATTTTATAAAGATGGTTTGTTTTGTAGACTATTGAATAAAAGTTTGCTTAAAGTGGCTAATAATTTTGTCTTTAAAATGGTGTTCTAACCAAAATAAAACAAATAAGACTTTCTCCTGAAGAAAAAATATTATCAGACATACTGTGAAAATTTCCTTGCCCTGTTTAACATAATTTGGGAAATATTTTAAAAATTAAAAAAAAACCAATTTAAAGGGGGGCTAATAATTCTGACATCAACTTTAATCAAAGTTTGAACTTGGTAAAAGTCCTTTTGTATTGCTGTATACAAGTCGAATTATTAGCCCCCTGAATTATTACCCCCCTGTATATTTTTCCCCCCAATTTGTGTTTAATGGAAAGAATTTTTCAACACATTTCTAAACCTAATAGTTTTAACAACTATTTTCTAATAACTGATTTATTTGATCTTTGCCATGATGACAGTAAATAAGATTTGACAAGATATTTTTCAAGATAGTAGTATTTAGCTTAAAGTGAAACTTAAAGGCCTAAATAAGTTAATTAGGTAAGTTAGGGTAATTAGACAAATCATTGTAATGATGGTTTGTTTGGTAGACAGTCGAAAAACAATAATTCTTAAGGTCATGGGTGTTGCTAGGCCCATTTTTTTCCAGCGAAAAATGTAACTCTTAACAAACATTTCGCTATTTTATTTTAAAATGAAATACCAAACACTTTACAGTTCGTGTGGAATTTACTATAGCATACAGTCTTGCACAGAAAGGATTAAACACAGCGACAGAAGCACTTAGAGACTTTAACTGTCACTTATTCACTGAAAGAGATAGAAACATCAAGTGTTGTCTAGTATTAAAAAATACCACTTATTTATTATTATCATTCAGATCGTGAAATATGTGAATTAGCTTGTAAGTTTATAAATATATATTTACATGTGCCATTTAATTAGAAAAGTGGCATTTTATATATTTAATACATGGAAACAAAAATGCCCTTGAATATAAAAAGTGGTTTTTACTACAGTACACATGTGGGTTGAGCTTATTTGGCTCACTCAGAACTCAAATGGTTATGCCTGTCTATGTAATGCAGTGGAATACTAGTATACAACCCATACATACATATATATATATATATATATATATATATATATATATATATATATATATATATATATATATATATATATATATATATATATATATATATATATATATATATATAGGTGAGGCAGTGGCGCAGTAGGTAGTGCTCACAGCAAGAAGGTCGCTGGTTCGAACCTCGGCTCAGTTGGCGTTTCTGTGTGGAGTTTGCATGTTCTCCGTGCCTTCATGTGGGTTTTCTCTGGGTGCTCAGGTTTCCTCCACAGTCCAAAGACATGCGGTACAGGTGAATTGGGTAGGCTAAATTGTCCATAGTGTATGAGTGTGTGTGTAAATGTGTAAGTGGATGTTTCCCAGAGATGGGTTGCGGCTGAAAGGGCTTCCGCTGCGTAAAAAACTCGCTGGATAAGATGCCGGTTCATTCCGCTGTGGTGACCCCAGATTAATAAAGAGACTAAGCCGACAAGAAAATTAATGAATGAACATATATATATATATATAATTTTACCTTACAAGGAACTGAGCGCCCCTAAAATAAAAATCCTAAAAAGGCCCTTGGGGGGCTTATAAAATTGACCTTATAAATGTTTTTAAAAAATTCAAAACTGAAGGAGAAATATTAAAGGAAGTACTGTGGAAAATTCCTTGCTGCAAACATAATTTGGGAAATATTTGAGAAATAATAAAACACTTTTAATAGTAATATTTTTTTCTTCAACTGTATTATCACAGTAGCCTTTACTATTGTCATTAACACACTGTTTTGGTCTCTGTCTTGACGCTAACCTTCTTCATTTCCAATAACATCATCAATTTATATTCATATCTTGGATTTGATCGTTTTCTTGAAGTCTTGCTTGCTGTATGTAGGAGCAGTGGCCGAGGTGTCTGTTGCAGCAGAAGCAGCTGCAGTTGTTGAATCCACAGCATCCGAACACATCGCTATTGCTGAAACCACAGCAGTAGAAACTGTCGTAGAGGTGCTGGAAGCAGAGGCTGAAGAGTCTCCAGCTGAATCTCTGGAAGCAGCAGTGGAGCTTGAAGCAGGATCTGCTATTGTACAGGCAGTAGTGGCTGAAACTGAGGAACCGGCTGCTCCTGTGGTTGAGGATGTTGCTGCTGAAGCTGCCGTCGCAGAGACGACCGGTGAGGAATCTCCTGTAGAGGAAGCAGCAGTCTAGATGTAAACCCTTCTGTGAATCTTCCCAGCCCACCTTGGAATATCCATTAAGCTGTAGAGACTCCCATTGTTGTGCTCGTGATTGACTTTCCTAATTGTCCTCTGAGGGAAAAAGTGCCTTTTTTCAAGTTGTGAAGTAATCCTACAGGTGTGGAGGACAGGTTGAGATTTATATGCCCATGAATAGGAAAATAAAACATGCCAATGCTCTTACTGTAAATTTCAAGTGGCCTTCTTTTAGACTGCTTGTTTTATAGGCCTATACAAAGAAACAAAAATATGGTTAAAAAGAAATTCTATTGGAAATGTGTAGATCTTTGAACTTATTTCTTCTTTTTTAACACCAAACACAAGTTATTTCTTGTGATTGGGCAAGACTTAAACGCACTCACTGTTTTTAGTTGCTAACTTTCTTAATTTACTAAAAATTGATGGAAAATGGAGCATCACCACTTTTTATTCATTTTATTTGGGTCCGTTATTGTTCCTATGATGTGGGGGAAATGCAGACTTTGGTAAAAATAAAAAAAGAATTAGCTGTATAATAAAGACCATAATAAAAAATTGCCAACTTTGCCTTAATAATACAAAAGCAGTGCTGTAATACATTCATTAATATACTGTATATATAACGTCTGTTTTTAGCATGTGACGTATCACTACATGAGTACTTGCTGCAACTTAATTTCTGGAGCTGCTTAGAAAGTTCCTTCAACAGCATTTTATTGTTTTATGTGAGGAAAATAACCGTAAGCAGACGATACCTTAGTATTGCACATTCCAGCCTGGTCTTATTGTTTATACACTGGTATTATTATGGAGTCACATACAGCTATAAAAACCATACATTTTGATTTGTTTTGATTGATGCTGAAATGTACAATTTGTATGTATACTTTAAATATTTAAAAGGTGATCCTTTTAAAAAATTATTTGCAAATCTCATATCATGAAAATACTTGCATTTTATGAGTTTATGGGTATGATTTAGATCAGGGGTTCCAAACTCAGTTCCAAAAGGGCCGAAGCCCTGCACAGTTTAGTTCCAACCCTGCTCCAACACACTTACCTGTATTTTTCAAACAAGCCTGAAGGACTCAATTAGTTTGATCAGGTGTGTTTAATTAGGGTTGGATCTAAACTGTGCAGAGCTGTGGCCCTTTTGGATCTGAGTTTGACACCTGTGATTTAGATCATTTAGAACAGTGGTCTCAAACTCAATTCCTGGATGACCACAGCTCTGCAGATTTTTAGCTCCAAACACCTCCAACTCACACCTGTGCAGAGCTGCGGCCCTCCAAGGACTGAGTTTGAGACCTATGATTTAGAATTTGATTTAGGTTTTTAGATCACTTAACTCACAGGTGTCAAACTCAGATCCAAAAGGGCCACAGCTCTGCACAGTTTAGTTCCAACCCTGATTAAACACACCTGATCAAACTAATTGAGTCCTTCAGGCTTGTTTGAAAAATACAGGTAAGTGTGTTGGAGCAGGGTTGGAACTAACCTGCGCAGCGCTTTGGCCCTTTTGGAACTGAGTTTGACACCCCTGACTTAACTCAACCCCCAAACCTATTACACTGAAAATGTAATAGATCAAAATGTGCCTTTAAACCATGTATTTTCCCTTTAAACCAAATCAAATCATAACTATTTCTTTAGAAATTATAGAATATGAAGAGAAACAATACAAACAAGCACAGTCACAATGATGAATCTCAAAAATGTCAACAGTGGTACTAAAGATATTTCAAATTACAATCAGATTCTCATAGGGCAGAATACAAAGTCAAAGCAAGACTGAAAAAAAGATGTGGTCACACTTTATTTTGATGGTCCGTCTATTCTCAATAGATTACACTATTAGGGTTGGGATTAGGGTTAGGGTAAGTTGACATTTACTTGCAAAGTTTCTTGTAGTCAGTTAAATGTCTGTTTAAGGAGCAGTATCTACAGATATTAAGCAGACAGTCTACTAATACTCAAATGGATCATCAATATAAAGCATTACCAAAGATGTTTTGTGTCTTACAGCTAAAAAAGAAATGTTACGTAAAGTGTAGTTTTTCAACATGATGTAATTATCCAATCATTCTGAACAAATAAATAATCTTTTAGGTAAAAGTACATTTTAAAAATTAATTTTAAGTAAATTGTTTAATATTAAGCTGTCAATACATCAGTTTCGTATGCTTCATTGTCTATAAAAACATAAGTAAACACTTTTCAATTTTGTAATTTCTATACATTCCAAACCATGTTATATTACCTTCAGTAATTCTTTCAAGGATTTTTTTCAATAATAGTTTCTAATTACTGTTTTTTGGGATATTCATTGCTTTTCCCATTTAAATGTGGACTTCTCTTATCTTGTGCCATGGTGGCAGGCCATTGTGCTATTTATCAAACTGCCATTTATCTTAACCCATTTAAGTCCACTAGTTCATAGTTGCCATTTTCTTTTTAAAATTAATTTCCTACATGTTATCCATGTTCAATTTCTTAATGACATGTAAGCAAACAACCAATTAAAGGAACTGATTTACTTCCTGTCACAAGAGGCCTTCACCTTCTTATCCCTAATTCCAGGATGAAAAATTGTCAAGCCCTCCCAAATAAAGACAATTTTCATGTTACTTAAAATATTTTTGTTCACAAATGTATATCAACATAATCATGAAGGTCTCTAGATTCATTCAGATAAAACATCTTCAAAGAGATCTATATATATTTTTTTGTTTACTTTGTCAAAAGTTTAAATGGCAACTTTAGTTACAGTACAGTAAATGTTAAATACATACATCATGGGGAATTAGGGACTAATGTGACAATGAATAATGTGTTTATAAGTAAATAAATCAAGGTTATTGGTCTTGTTTAATGATTTTGTTTTCATAATATCCCATCTAAAATAACTTAACCATTTAACTGAAATGTTTACTTTTTTTGCAGTTTATTTGAGTTAGAATGCCAAATGTTCTCCTCCTATTCAGAAGAAAGGGTTCTTACAACATATTTGCCCACCGGCAACGAGTTGCTGCATATTCAATTACAATTTTCTTGGAAAAAATTCAAAAACCTGAAGAAAATAAATGCAAAACATGTTCATATTTTGACTCTATTAAAAACGAGAACATGCAAGCAACCTTTTTTTTTTTAAATTTGGGCACAAATGGGTTAACATATGAAAAATGTTAAAATGTGAAAAAATGAAAAAAGGGAACATAAAAATATATGTGACACTGGGGCATTTGCTTTTAACCTCAGTGCTGTTTGAATTCAAGTTTGATCAGATTGTATGCTGATTCCAATTTTTAAAACAATATTTGTGTTCATTAAAAATGTTTTTTATCAAGATTAAACTTTAGTGTGATTTTAATTGTAGTCTTTGACCCATTTATGTCATTAACTTTGTTTTTGATTCTTTTTCCAAGGCTTTCTATGTCTTTTTGCATTATATTTCATATTTTTAATACATTTTTTTTATTGACTTAAACTTTTTTGTGTTTTTTTATAAACATGGTTATCAACAATGGTAATAGACAGAATTTCTCAACATTTACTTGGTTCAATGTGTATAGCATCGTTGATAAAGACATGAAACAAAAAAAAATTACAAATTATATATGTACTCAAACAAACACACATATATGAATCCATATATATGCATACAGAAACCTGTAAATAAGTATGAGAATATATATATATATATATATATATATATACATACATAATGTCAGAGAAATGAAAAATAGTCTACTAAAATTATTGTAAAACATCAAACAGAAAGAAAAGATAGTTTGTTGTCACCTATATCCTGAGACATCTTAATTGTTTCTCCTATGTTGTTAAATTAAATCACTTAAGTTTTAATAATGGAGATCAAATTGTCATTGATTAATGGTTATTTCCTGAATTTGCGACAAGATGGTGGAAACGTTAACCCAAAAATTGTAGATTGGGAGTCAATCCCAGAAAACATTAAAAAACTGTTTTCAATCAGTTTGCTTTGTTTAGGTGAATTAAATACACTAAAACGGCCATAGTGTATCTGTGTGAATGAGAGTATTTGGATGTTTTCCAGGACTGGGTTGCAGGTGGAAGGGCATGCACTTTGTAAAACATGTTATATAAGTTCGCGGTTCATTCCGTTGTGGCGACCTCTGATTAATAAAGGGACTAAGCCGAAGGAAAAATAATGAATGAATGTTTAATTTAGATCATCTGCTTTAAATGTTTTCATGATCCTGCATTAAACCCTGTTTCTTCATTTCGGCAAAAGCTTCCCAAATGTCAATTTGCATACTTGACACAAATGTTTTCAGACTGACTTGATAATAATGCCTTATTTTCAAAGATGCTTTAGTCATCTTGTACAGTTAATCTGGGTAAATCTCTCTTGAGTGCGTTGTTTAATTCCTCGCTAATCTTGGAGATGTATGTCACTTAGTGTGTCTTAAGGAGATTTCCTAATGGTGCCACCACCTTCATATCCATCTTTAAAGATGCCAGGATATTTTTACCTATGCTATTAGCTAATGGCATTTAGCTGCCTCCTACTGCCCGTGCCAAATGAGATATATACAGATAAACTGTACACACTACACACAATTCTGCAGTGCAACAAAAGTCCATTGGCGAACCTAAAATGCATAAGAAATGTTTGCAACTTTATTAATTTAATTAATGTTGTTAACACATTAACGGCTCAGTGGTTAGCACTGTCACCTCACAGCAAGAAGGTTTGAGTTCTGGCTGGGTCACTTGGCATTTCTGTGTGGAGTTTGCATGTTCTCTCTGTGTTCGCTTGGGTTTTCCTCCAGGTGCTCCGGTTTTCCCCACTGTCTAAAGACATGCACTACAAGTGAATTAACTAAACTAAATTGGATGTAGTGTATGAGTGTGCATGTGAGAGTGTATGGGTGTTTCCCAGTACTAGGTGCAGTTGAAAGGGCATTCGCTGTGTAAAACATTAAAACGTGCTGGATAAGTGGGTGGTTCATTCCACTGTGGCGACCCCTGATGAATAAAGGGACTAAACTGAAGGAAAATTAATGAATGTATACCATAACCTTCCTTCCCATCTCAAAAAGACTTTTCTTCACTTCTGGTCACATGGAATGCCTTTAGGGCGGGGCTACCAGGGTGTGTCCCATTTCTTTCTTGCTTTCATTCTTTGGTCAATCTTCCTTAATTTTGTTTGCAACTCCCATCTTGCAATGAACCAATTGCTTACCCTAGAACTAAATCATGCACCGCCCAATTTCTTTTTTTTTAACCCTTTAACTGCCCCACAAAGAAAAAATCATTAAAAAAAGATATTTTTTTGGATTGCATTCCTTAACTCCTATTCCTAATGTCACTAGTTAACACAATCAATGCTTTTTTTCCAACACATCCCATAATTTATCAAATGTCAACCTCTACCAAATAGTTGATATGTCGGTTTATGGTAAAGTACAGGAATTACATACATTTTGAAAATCAGAAAATATGAAGTGTAAGACCAATTTATTCAAAAACATAGTCAAAATATTATACGATAAATATAATAATAATATATAATATTATATATATATTATATATCAAACAGTCCAATCTGATCATGATGACAGAAATGCACGATATGAAAACTTTAGATTTGTTTTTGACTTCAATGGTAGAAGCAATATTGTGACGAGTGCTGTTAGTGACAACTAGTGGTTTTTTTTGGCATAGCATGCTTCGACCAGACGGTAGAGATGGCTCAATCAGGTTTAGATAAGTCAGGTACTCCTCTCAATAAAATATAGACCGTCAAAATACAGTCAACCATTTGGGCAAGCAGGCAGGTAAAGGGTTTATTCCAGGACCATTTCAGTTGGAAATGGGAAACAAGAACAATCTCAACTTCCATTTTAAGCTGACCTTAGGAATAAACTCTTAGCTTACAGAACATTTTATAAAATAAAAGCTAATTTTCAAGACAATAAGTTTAGACCAACAGGATTTTACAATATATATATATATTGATACATTGATTCCGCCTAATCCTATACATCATGTTGTCCTTTATACAGTTGAAGTCAGAATTATTAGCCCTCCTTTGAATTTTTATTCTTTTTTTAAATATTTCCCAAATTATGTTTAACAGAGCAAGAAAATTTTTACAGTATGTCTGACAATATTTTTCCTCTGGAGAAAGACTTATTTGTTTTATTTCGGCTAGAACAGTTTTTAATAAAAAAATTAATTAATAAGTAAAAAATGTGTTGAAAAAACCTCTCCATTAAACAGAAATTGGGGAAAATAAACTTAGGGGCTAATAATTCAGGAGGGCTAATAGTTCTGACTTCAACTGTATCTATATCCGTAATACCAAATATTACTTATTTTGTTGCAGTTACTGCAATGTCTGACCTAATGAGTGCTGTGAAAATCCTGGCTGGATCTACAGTGGAGATTGCAGCTGCTTCAGTTGGTGATCAGCACTTGGTGACCGCAGTGAGGTTGTCTGAAGATCACAATACAGCAGAGATCCTCAACGGGCTGGAGACTGTTGATGTTAAAGCAGAAGACCCAGAACCTGTAGGAGAGGCTGCGATAAATCCAGCTGATCTAAACACAGCAGAACAGGATGAATTGTCTTCAGCACTTCACCCGGTAGACAAAACAACTGTAGAGGTGGCAGATGATAACAATGTTGACTCTGAAGCAAATGACTCTCATGTTGCTAAAATTGATGTTGAAAGCCTTTCTTTATCAGAGGGTACAGAGATGGAGAATACTGTAGAATTACTAGAGTCAACAAACCCTGTGGAAGTGATGACGGCAGAAGATGATACAATCTCTGGAGCTGCAGAGTCCATGACTGAAACTGTTGAGGTGGTGCATCAGATAATGGAGGAATATAAAGCATTATATGATGATCTAGCTGGCACAGAAACAAAACATACAGATCTCACAGAACCACCAGACATGGAGATGTCAGAGATAGTGTTGGATGAAGTGGAAGAAACTAAACCAGCTGAAGCGTCGGAAGAAGGTAACTAAATGATGCCACGCAAAAAATAATGAAGAAATCCAGATTGCATATGCATTTGAGGTAGTTCTGGAAATTTGTTTATTTTTTTCCCACAGATGATGAAAGTGGAAAAGTTACGATGACCATGCCACAAGCCTAAAGTAAATGTACAACAGAACCTGGGAACCTGACTCTGGAAACTGAGAATTTATGTGAAGCCCAAAGAATCCGCAAAAAAATACAGTGAAACTAACATTTACTGGTGTTTTATAGCCATGCAATGATGGAAAGTAAAAAGGTAGAAGTTAACATCAGTCTAAATATGTCTGCACATTTAGTCAATGGTTTAAGTTATAATACTTTCCATATTTATGAAATCATTTAAAACAGGATTTGGGGTTAACTGTTATTGTAGTCTCTTGAAATAATGTGCGGTGACATTGTACTATGCTGAACATGTGCAGATTTGTGGACACGTTCATGTTTTAGAGTTGCAGAGTACAAAAAAGGTTTTTATTTTAAAGCAAAATGGGATACACTGACATAATTAAATGATTAGCTTATTTTTAAACCGGGGTTTAAGAGGAGGTTGGGCCCTCTGATAGTATCTCTAGGGGCCCCAAAAGTGCGTGAAGCCGTGAACCCAGAATTTAATTAATAAGTCCACGTTAAAATAACTTATATAACTTCATTCATTTTCCTCCAGCTTAGTTCCTTCATGCTTTTAAAACTTTAAAAAGTTTAAATTAACTTAACTTTGTTAATAATTTATTAATTTTATTAAATGTAATTGTTAATAATTAATAAATTACATTAACTTATTATAAACATAAAAACAACCGTTGACTTATTGACCATTTAATTTTTACAGTGTATGCTCCTGCCCTACAAGTGGCATGTTTATTTATTTATTTACTGACTAACTTATTTAATATGATATTGCAATTCATAAGTTTGTTATTCAGTATTCAATTAAGTAGTTTCTGTTCTTCTCTGTTCATTAAAACTCACTTGTATAATTTTTTAGGATGCAGTTTGAAATCAAAATGTTATTATTATTGTATGTCTTCAGATTCATGTAAAAAACTGATAGAATACCTTTCAAATTCTTGTGCATTCCGCAATTTTGCTTAAGTCATTTCAAATATTCACACTTGCACAGCGTTTACTCCACCATTCTTCACCAAATTAAATTGTTAAAACATATTTTTAAATCTTTGCATTCTTGTATTAAATGCAATTTGTTTTGTGAATCTTACAATGAAAATGAAATGAAATAGCCTGCCCACACTACATCAATGTTGCTGATGAACAGACTACTTTATGGGTATTAGTGACAAAACAATCATGATGAGTCACATTCTGTAACATCATTTTAACTGCCGAATAAAAATTAACTTTAAAAACTGTTTTCCAGTTCTCATTTAACTTTTTTTTCTGGTACAATCAGAATTTATTTGTTTTTGAAAAACGTGTTTGTTCATAAGTTTCTTAATAAAATACATTTCCAGTAAAATAATTTTAAAACTACTCGTATCATAGCAAGCGAAGTTATGTCTGAGTTCAAACAGCAGATGGTGCCACATACTGCTATTTTATGACCCTACCTTTCGTACCAAAAGTATAACCCTTTTCTTCAACACAGGTCAGGTTGCATCATTTTGTCCCTATTTTCTCATTTATCTTATTTTGACTGCCATGCCATCATAAATTGTGTAAATAACCAATCGAAGGCAGAGTATGACAGTAAGTGGGACACGTGTCATGTTTGAATTTTTTTAATTTAAAAAATGGCCAAATTCTGATTAAGGAAAGTTGAATGTGCTGTCCAGCTTGTTATTTATCTGATTCAATGACAACAGGCTACATTTTAATGATATTTGTGTAACAATTTTGTGTTTTAAAAATATTAGTTGAAGTCAGAATTATTAGCCCCCCTTTGATTTTTTTCTTTTTTAATTATTTCCCAAATTATGTTTAACAGAACAAGGACTTCCACAGTATGTCTGATAAAAAAATTTTCTTCTGGGAAAAGTATTATTTATTATTTATTTATTATTATTTGTTTTATTTTTATTTTTAAACACCATTCTAAGTGTCACCGACTCGGCCCCAGTCATTCCCCTCGCTGACCAGCAGAGGTCACCATCTCCGGACTTCTAACCATTACGTCATCCAGTTCACTCAGATCCCAGCACACCTGTTCTCCATCTCACTAATGACCCACGTACCACATATAAGCAACTCACACACACACTTCATTGCGAAGTCTTGTTTAGCCCCGGCCAGCATTTCTGAGCGTTCTATCCTGCCTGATCTCCCGTTGACCACTTCAGCCCGTTTCTCGACTCTGCTCTGTCTTCTGCCTGCCCTTGACCAAAGCCTGTAACACGGACTCTGAATCACGCTGCCTGCCCTTGACTCAAGCCTGGTAATCACTCTGCCTCTGTTATCTACTAATCATCGTTTAGTTGTATGTTGTATGTTCGCACAGCCGTGCGAGGTGTTGATGTTTAAGTGTGACTCAATAAATACTGCAAAATGGATCCCTCCGTGTCAGTCTCCCCGTTACAGAAGACTTCGCCCAACACGGATCCCGCAGCCATCCAGGTTTTGTCTCACGAAGTCACAACACAAGCTCAGGTATTGTCAACACACCAACAACAACTAACACATCTAACTCAGTTAACAGACGAACTGGTGAAATCCCTACAAAACCTGCAAGCTGCTGCCACTGCGCAACCCACCGCCAACTACTCTCCAAGTCCACTTGTTGTTGCACAACCCCCGATGACTTCCGGAGTTCTCAGGTAACCCAGCAAAATGTAAAGGCTTCCTACTGCAATGTAAACTGTTTATCGCCCAACAGCCTCATCTGTTTAAGGACGAGAATGGGAAAATTGCTTTTGTGTGCTCCCTGCTCACTGGGAAGGCGCTAGACTGGGCTACTGCAGTTTGGCCAGACAGTACCCCGATATTTCCCTCGTTTAATGACTTTCTCAAACGTTTCTGCACTGTGTTCGATCATCCAGAGGGTGGTCGTAACGCTGGCGAGGAGCTATTGTGCATCCAACAGGGAGATCGCTCCGCGGCTGAGTTCGCCCTGCAGTTCCGCACTCTGGCAGCGCAAACTGGCTGGGCTGATGATCCGCTTGCCACGCTCTACAGAAAGGCTCTAAGACCAGAATTGCAGCGAGAGATGGCATGTCGTGACAAGGGAAAAACACTGGATCAACTAATCGAACTTTCCATAAGGTTAGACACTCTCCTCCGCACTCGCAATCCGCTATGCTCAATTGCTTCCAGTCCTGTATCCCCTGAAACCTCCGCTGAACCCATGCAATTGGGTAGAACCCGCCTGAACCCAGAAGAGCGAGAACGACGGAGAAGAAATCACCTGTGCATTTACTGCGGACTTCCAGGTCATACGAAGGTTTTATGTCCCAACAAGCCTCTCCCTAAAACCCTCTCGCCATCACTGCTGTAGACGGGCGCCCTTTGGGAGAAGGACGTATAAAATTCCAAACCCTGCCAATCTTACTTCAAACAGGCTCTCTCCATGAAGAGGAAATTTCCCTTCTTGCCATCAACTCCCCTAAACACTCTGTAATTCTTGGGTTACCATGGCTACAACAGCATGACCCTCAAGTCTCTTGGAGAACTGGTGAGATCACAAAATGGAGCAATCAATGCTTTACCCAATGTCTGCACTCTGTTTCCCCTGTCCAGATCAACACAATTAACAAGACCGAAGACTCTGAACTCCGTCATGTTCCTGATGCTTATCACGATTTAATTGAGGCATTTAATAAGCAGAAGGCTACCAAGCTCCCTCCTCATCGTGAAAATGACTGTGCCATTGAGCTGCTACCCGGCACCACGCCCCCTCGTGGTCGCATCTTCCCTCTCTCACAACCTGAAACTGAAGCTATGAAGAGTTACATCTCTGAGGAGCTAGAGAAGGGCTTTATTCGACCATCTACTTCACCCGCTTCAGCAGGGTTTTTCTTCGTCAAGAAGAAGGATGGCAGCTTGCGCCCATGCATTGATTACCGAGGCTTAAATGAGATCACAGTCAAATACCGCTACCCATTGCCATTGGTTCCTGCCGCCCTTGAGCAACTCCGATCCGCCCAGTATTTCACTAAGTTGGACCTCCGTAGTCCATATAATCTCATCCGCATACGACAGGGAGACGAGTGGAAAACCGGGTTCTCTACAATTGACGGCCACTACGAATACCTCGTTATGCCCTTCGGCCTAGCAAACAGTCCTTCCGTGTTCCAGGCATTTGTAAATGAGATATTTAGAGACATGCTCAACAAGTGGGTCATAGTGTATATTGACGACATCCTGGTCTACTCCAATTCGCTATCTGAGCATATCCAGCATGTCCGGGCAGTGCTCAAACGCCTCATTCAAAACCAGCTGTATGCAAAGAGCTCCAAGTGCGAATTCCACCAGACCTGCATCTCATTCCTTGGTTACATTATCAGTCCAGAAGGCGTGGCCATGGACCAGCAAAAGGTCGACTCCGTGACACAATGGCCACAACCCGAAACCATCAGACAACTACAACGATTTCTGGGCTTTGCTAACTTCTACAGGCGCTTCATAAGAAACTTCAGTTCAGTCGCTGCCCCACTGACCGCCATGGTAAAAGCCAACAATGCTCGCCTTAAATGGAACCCAGACGCTGTCCGAGCATTTACCCAGCTAAAGACTCGCTTCTCCAGTGCACCCATTCTGCGTCATCCTGATCCCGAGCAACCCTTTGTAGTCGAAATTGACGCGTCCAACACTGGAATTGGAGCCATCCTGTCCCAACGATCCCTAGTGACTAAGAAGCTCCATTCCTGTGCCTTCTATTCTCGCAAGCTCAACTCCACTGAACGGAACTACGATGTGGGAAACCGAGAACTTCTCGCCATGAAAGCCGCGCTAGAAGAATGGAGACACTGGCTTGAGGGCGCAAAACACCCTTTCATCGTCATCACCGATCACAAAAACCTAGAATATATCCGGTTCTGTAAACGTCTGAATCCTAGACAGGCAAGATGGGCGCTGTTTTTCACCCGATTTGACTTCCAAGTCACCTATATCCCTGGCTCAAAAAACATCAAAGCAGATGCTCTGTCCCGCCTCTCAGACGATGAGACCTCTGAATTCCATGATGAACCCATAATTAAAGACCCTCTAATTGTCGCTCCTATCCAGTGGGATATCGAACAGGAGATCCTTCAAGCCGCCGAGAATAATCCATCTCAGCAGCCCTGTCCAGAGAATAAAATCTTTGTTCCCCCGTCACTTCGAGAAAGACTCATCTCCGAGGTACATGACCACCCCAGTTCCGGTCACCCAGGCAGCACAGCCACCGTACAAATGATTCAATCCCGCTACTGGTGGTCATCCATACACAAGGATGTAATCAACTTCATCAATAAATGCTCACCCTGTCAGATGTCCAAACACTCCCGTCACCGTCCAGCTGGATTACTCCAACCCCTGGCGGTGCCACATCGCCCCTGGTCACACATCGCTATAGATTTCATCACCGATTTACCCATATCTCAGGGCAAAACCACCATCCTCACAGTAGTGGACCGATTTTCAAAATCCTGCCGCCTTATCCCCATCTCCAAACTGCCTACAGCCATGGAAACGGCCGAGTTACTCTACGAGTGTGTGTTCCGGTACTATGGTCTCCCCGAAGACATCGTGTCGGATAG